TAAAAATTATTGATCAGCCAATACTCATCAAGAGTTTAAGACTTGTATTTAAAATAATTGTAACATGAATTTTAATTGGCCTATTACTTGTTACTTGTTACAAGTAAGCCAATTAGGAATGGGTTAAAGAGATATTTAGCAAAAAACCACACATTCATCAAATATGTTTCACATTCATTAAAAAGTTATAACAATAAACTCGTCTAATGTATTTTCAATCACTTTTGTCGTATTACCCCGTATATAATTTTACGTACTTTTTCTATAGACAATGGGATTTTATATATAACTCAAAAAGTACTAGACCAAATTGTTTAGAATTAAATTTAACATTGAGACAAGTTAGATTTTAATTATCAGTACATTAAATTAGTTTAACTTAAAAATAGGAAAATATATATTTTTTAATTATATTGTAATTTACACAAAAATGTGATGTTGTTAGACTAATAAAAATGGGTGATTTTCAAAATTATTTTTACAAATATACAATTTAAACGTATACAATAGATGTTTACAGCATAAAAATTATTTTATTATTTACAGTATATTATTTTAATAAAGTCAATGTCTTTATAAAGTCAATGTTTTAGAGTTTGTTAATAGCAACTGCATTGTAACAACAACAATTAATTAAAACAACAATTTGTTAAAATTAAAAAACTCTATTTAAAAATGTTCCTTTTAAAAAACGCATAGTTTTGTACTTTACACTAAATGCTATTAATTTCAAATTATAAATCAAAACAGAATATTTTATAAATTAAATTTATTTTGGATAAACATTAATTGAAAATATTGAGCAATTTATTATATGCTGAATTTATTGTAAATTAATATTATAATTTTATTTAATACATTGGCTAATTAATACATTCATTATTAATAGTGTTCAAAATTAAAGGGCAAAGGGTACTTGGGTCAAGTGTGTCAGATCGATGATCAATTGTTGAATGGTTTGTTGTCTGAGTTCAGCTGAGGGTAAAGTACCGATCGCTTGGTTTAATTTGGGGAACTCAACGTTCAAAAAGGCGTTAATCTAAATTTAATCAGAGGTAATAAAAACAATTAATTTTTATAATTAAAAAGATTGTTTGAATATAACAAACTTTATCGTAATACTGAATCATAAGGGTATTCATAGGCGGGTGAATAATTCCTCTATTCTTTGCCCCCTCGACGGCCGCCACGACTCGGCTCTCCAGAGTTTTCAATCGGTTGATTAGGTTGTGTTCATTGCCCGTCAATAACAGGGGCTTAACAGCTCGGAGTTCAGTCAAACGCTCCAACATGTATACAAAGTCGTAAACCTGACCAACAATGACCGTGGTGATTGAGTGCTGGAGTGGATAGATGTCAACCTTTTCCAACTCGCCAAACATCCATGTTAGAATTGGTCTGAACGCATTCATAGCATCTTGATAGAACTGACTGACCACGTTCAAACCCTGAGCGTTGTATTTTTGCTGAGCAGCCTTAAGATAGCCCTTTTTTCCAACTCGCCAAACATCCATGTTAGAATTGGTCTGAACGCATTCATAGCATCTTGATAGAACTGACTGACCACGTTCAAACCCTGAGCGTTGTATTTTTGCTGAGCAGCCTTAAGATAGCCCTGCGCCTCATTAGAAGCCAAGTTCATAGAAGCCAAGATATCTTTCTCGTGGATCTGTTCATTGAATTGATCCGGAAATAAATTGAAGTTTGGATCTTGAGCTATTGGGATAAATGAACAAGGTTATTTGGCATGTATTTCATAAATTAGAGAGAAAGAGAGAGAGAGAGAGAGAGAGAGAGAGAGAGATCACCACTTTTAAAAGTTTATGAGTTTACAAATATTTCAATTATTTATTAAACTTACCATGAGCAATAGTTGCGGCAAATAAAAGGCCAACAAATATTTTAATGGCAAACATGATTATAATTTAGAAGTATTTACTTTGTAAATATAAGTTATCTAATATGAACTTATTATTAACTGAATATGATGTTTAAAATGCAGTGATATTTATATAATAATCGCAATTACCATGTTCTACAGTATTTTGTGGAGTGTGACGTCTGAATTGTTATAAGGTTAACATTATTAATTATGAAATTTTTATATAATGGTTATTTGCACAAAAGCACATTTATGATATTATAGAAATTGAATATTTGTCATATAATATGCACTCAATTAAACTGTCAAATCAATCTACGAGCAACTGATCGCAATCAATTCTAATAAATCTAGTTTTAAAACACTTGCTAATTTTAAATTAATTATCATGTTATTCTTGTTAGTTAAATTAATTAATTGTTTATATTAGAATGGATATTACATTTTTAGAAGTGTTTTCGAGAGGTAATTCTAGTTTTTAAAAACACGATAATAAATTATATACCATTATAACAAATTACTCCATGATACTCATTAATTATATAAAAAACATAGTACATATTTTACAGTTTATTTTTATATCCTTGATTATACAACAGGATTTATAGATGTCACAATTTTTTCGATGGTTAATACAACCATTAATTAAAAATGTCAGTTATCCATAATGTATAATCTCGGTGCGTTTATTGCATAATAAACCTAACAATGAATTAAAAGTATATAAACATGCTATTCTCAAACAGATTTCAATCATTACAAAACATACCTGTTTTGGGTATACATAACTATTGGTACTTGAATTCCATAAGTAAATATGAATTCACTCATTACAATTGCTTTGGGTATTTGCTTGGTAATCGTTCAAGGTACAATTATTAATTAATAAATGTATATTATATTAAAATCTAATTAAATTCCAAATAATTATAACAGCGATAGCGGAGGAAAATCCCATCGATTACGGAGAACAGGCCAATACAGATGCCGTCAAAATGAGAGCATACACATTGGTTGAGCCCATCGGAGCCATACTGAATGCCGCTGAGAAACGATACAAAACACAGGGTTTAACTATACCCACAATATTGTACGAAGACGTTAAGGTGTATGTCTTGGAGACCCTTCCCTGGGTTTTTCAACAGTTCAAAGCCGTGGCCAACGAGACTAATAGAGAGCGAGTGACCGCACAATTCATTGGCGAAGTCCACGGCTTTAATTATATGAGCAAACGGTTGGACAAAATCCGTTTGAGTGGTCCACTGAATGTAGCAGGGTCGGCCTCGGAGTTGCTTGGTAAAATTCAACAAACTGAAAAGTTTATTCTGGAATCACTCGATCACGAAATGGCCATCGCTTCCCATCCAGTGTGGGTCGCGTTTCACCTCAGGGTAAATTAAAATTTATAGTTACTATAGATAGCGATATATAATTAATTAAGCATACTATAACATTTTATTTTATTTTATTTATTTACAAAGTAGATTAACATTATTTATTTTTACATAATGTAGATTAAAAACTTTATGACCGCTGAGTTCCCCAAACTGTACAAGGCCATTAATGAATTGCCCGATGAAGAGACTAAACGCAAAAACCTCCAGGTGCTGCTCGCGGACTTGTCACACGCCACACTTCCCCCATTATAAATTATAGATTATTTTACTTAATTCATTGGCTAATGTATACATTTTTATTTTAATAAAAGTTACTATTTTTAAGCATTTATGTTTTACTAGTGTCAATATTTCTAAACAATATCTACACGTAAAAAATTTATTGTTGATATTAATTATGTTAACAATTAAAACTCTGATAATCCAGATAGTTATGTTGCTTACTATGCACATCTATACATTGTTACATTTCGCATGTTTAAATTTTAAAATGTAAATAATAGCCTTTACATTTATGAAATTAAGATTAACTGAGATAGGCCGCCAATTAGCTATTTATCAATTATTTTAATTTGTACTACAGCTCATTCACAAAATTTATGAATGCAATACTAATATGGTGAACAATAAACTAATTAAATTAAATTCTCCACAAACAATACTGATTTTTACACATATTTCATGTTATTATTTCTCAATAATAAAGTGCAATTTTTAACTTTTTAAATTACAAATCTTAATAAGTCTGTATATTAGATTACTTATCTATTTTGCTCTAACAATTTGTAAATATTAATCAATGCAATAAATAGATGCAAATCAATTTTATTTTATTAAATTATTTGTAATACATCAACTAATTAAGACATAATAATAATAATTAAATTTATATTTAAATTATTATTGAGATAATATTTAATTAAAGCATAAAGGGCATTTGGACCAAATGTGTCAAATCAATGATGAGTTGTTGAATGGTTTTCTCTCTGAGTGCAGCTGAGGGTAAATTACCGATTGCTTGATTCAATTTGGGGAACTCAGCGTTCAAAAAGGCATTGATCTATAAATATGCATAATTAATAAATAATTAATTTCACAGTTAGTAATAAAATTAATTAGAATTTCTATTAAATCACCTTATCCAAATATGCAGCCCAAACCGAATTACCATGTGCAAGTCCTTTGCCCTTTGAATTCTCGACGGCGGCCACGACTCGGGTCTCCAATGTTTTCAGACGGTTAATAAGGTTGTGCTCATTGCCGGTGACCGACAGGGGCTTAACGGCCCGCAGTTCGGTCAATCTTTCGCACATATATGCAAAATTATAAAACTGAGCGACAATCACCGTGGTCACAGCGTGTTGTAATGGAGAAATAGTAATCTTGTCCAGCTCGGCGAATAACCATGGCACAATGGGTGTGAACGCATCGATAGAATCTTGGTAGAACTGGGAGACCACGGTCAAACCCTGAGCGTTATCTTGTTGTTGTGCGGCCCGGATATAGCCTAATACCTCTTGGCCCACAACATGGCTATACGGCATAACCTCGTTCTCGTGGATTTGTTCATTGAATGCGTCCGGAAAGTCAGTGAATGGCGCTGGGTCACTTTGTGCTGGTGGTTAATAATCAGGGTTAGTTATTCATTGCATTAAAATTGCATGATTTGAGAGAGAGAGAGAGAGAGAGGATTAGGATGAAAAGGAGTGATAATGAGGGCTCACAGCAAGATATGCCTGACGAGTGGTACAGTAGTTGAAACTCTTGTTGAGCTGAACCCGAATTTTCTCTTCATTTTCCCTTTCCTTGTGGAGGAAGAATATTCGCGGCGCCCGACGGCTCGCGGCATCCAATTTGGTTTCGTATACGAAATCTATTCATGAAATCAATTTTATTTTGTGTTTTTTAATCAGAAAATAAAATAAAATATAAGAAATAATATTGACTTTTAGTGTCTCTCGAAAAACAGTGTTTTTTGTCGTAAAATTTCCAATTTTGTAGAAAATTGTGTTTTTCGCAGAAAAAACACCGAAAAAATTAATGATAAAAATAAATATTTAGTTAAGAATTAGGTTTCTTTCTGTTTTGTGTCTCCAAATGAATGACGACGACTACCACTACTTCTGCTACTTCTTTGACTATAATAAACAGTTTTTCCTTTAAAAAAATACTAATTTGTTGTCTCTTTAATGACAGACGAGAAACAGATTTACACCAAAATATAATGTATTTCACTCTTTAAACTAATTCTTATAACAAAAAAATATTTTTCGTATAAAATCAGCGCTAATTTTGTTTGTCATATAAGAATAAAAAACAATTTTTATTTATAACAAACTCTAAGGAATTCATTGACATACCATTGGTATATTTGTGAAGTTAATTATTGTCTAATATGTTGTGTCAATAATAATAATGTATTTTCAAAACACAAACCCAATTGGTTTTCAACTCCCAATCCGTCATATTTGAGGCACAATTTGATGGTAAGACAGGGCACTCGCGAGCCATCAGTTAGGCTACAGTCCTTGTCCTCTAAGCCCACACTCTGTTTGGCGAGACTCAGACTCGCCGTCACGTTCACCACCGGTCGGGCCCTCAGGAATATAGCCCTATCGGAGGCGTAGGCGCCCACCAATAGGTCCGGGTATTGATTGTTGTCGAGATCGAGTCCGCCCGACAGCGAGAAGCCAAAGGTCTTGAGTCCGGGATCGTTGATGGCTTCGGCGTAAATCACTTGCGAGTGCTTCGGCTGCAGGCCTTTCCGGGAGCCGAGGTATATGTAAACGGCTCCCAATCCCTTATCGCCATCATATGGCGCGCCGACAGCGATGTCATCGAAGCCATCCTTATTGATGTCCGACAGCGACGCCAAAGACATGCCGAACCGGGCTTTGGATTTGAGGCCATCGATGTGGTCGTCATTTTTGATGATAAATCGATGCTTCAAATGAATTGACAGAATTTATTGTTCAGAGATTTATATGAATAATTTTACGACTATTTCACAATCCATTTGATGATAAAATAAACATTTTTAAAATTTATTCAACAAATCAATTATTAGTATATTTTAAGGAATTTATGTGAATAGTAAAAGTGTTGGAATACTACCTAAAAAATGAAACTAAAATACTTTAATATTTATTAATATGTGAGTTGTTTATCACTATTTTTAATGAGTTTTAATATAGGACATGAAAGGGTTGCTAAAAGACTCGGGAGAGAGAGAGAGAGAGAGAGAGAGAGAATGGTTGAATATTATTCTAGATGCCATACCTCTCTGGTCTGGTATGCCATATAAATTCTTCCCTTTTCATAACTCATATCCTTAGCGTTTGCCGGCGAGTATAGGGGAGCGCCGATCACCACGTCGTCCAGTCTATCAAATAATGCAAAGTATTGTCAAATCACTCGTTTGTCGGCAAATATTTTTCATTAAATTTAATAAATATTCTCGTGTTGTCTCACAGTTTAGACATGAGTTTGTTTTTCATGCGATATATAATATTTCTAAAAATATCTCTCATTTTTATATTAATAATAATTGTGGAGAATATCCATAGATATACAGAATATACAGCTATAAAATCATCCATCACTAGACGTATGCCATTAATTAAGTGTCTGATGGCATGACATGGAAATACATACCCGTCTCCGTCGATATCGGCTGTAGTGAGACTATAGCCAAAATAAGCCCCCATTTGGTCGCCGGTTATGTTATAAATATCCTTCAGCGAAGATGTGTAGAGAACAACCTATTTGTCGAAAACAATAAATTATATTTTTGTGTTAAATCATAAGGAGATTAATGGCTTCAATGCTTTCGCGAATACCATTACTACTATTTTTTCTTTCAAAATATAGCACATTATGTAATACTAATAATAATCACATATTTAAGCTAATATTGAATGTGATATATTTCAATCAAAATTGTGAGAATATTTACCTAAATTTTGCTAAAAATATTCTCTCTCTCTCTCTCTCTCTCTCTCTCTCTCTCTCTCTCTCTGAATCATTTTAAAAACAGATTTTGTTAATTCAAAACAGAATTTTGTGCTAATTTTAGACGCGTTTTAATAATAAAGAGCAGAAAATACTAATAGAATTGAGAAATAAAGAGACGAAAAATGAATGTAAAGATTAGAAACAGTGAAATGAGAAACAAAACTAAAACCAAGTTTTAATGCTTTTAAAAGAAAAAAGACATTTCTTAATGTATTTCAATTAATGTGTTGTAAATGTTGAATACATATGAAATGTAAAGTATATACAAATTCTGTTGAGACGAGCATAAAAAGATAATTAAAGCATAAAATTAATTGAATAACAACTGCAACTCATATACAGTAGATGTGTATATGTTTTCTCCATATGTCTCGTATATATCAAAGAGTGAACACTAAAAATGGTTTTTTTTTAAATTTATTGAATACAGAGAAAGAAAAGCCGTTTTAATATTCACTCAATTGATATAATAATATAAAAGTGGAGCAAATAATGAGTATCTCAAGAATCTCGACATTCAATGTTTCAATTAGTCCTCAATAAGCAATGCATTTATATATGAGATAAACATATTTTAACCCTATATTACAACACAGAGAAAGAAATATGAATGCATTTCTTGTGAGATTTGGATTTGAGTTTTGCCTAAGAATTTGTGACATTTGAATGATTGAAATAATTAATTAGATATACATCTGTGTAAATATCTTTCATTTCAAAAGGCGTACACCAATTATACACTTAATTCCCTCTCAAACGGGAAAATTAGTTTTTGATTAAAAAAATAACACACAATCTCTTAAAGAGTAAAGGAATTTAATCTCTAGTTTTCATTATTATTATATTTTTGGTGTATATTTCGACGTTAAATGAATAAACATATGGCATAAAGATATTTCATTATTGAAAATTCATGATTATCTCAATTATTTATTAAATATCTCTATAATTATATGTATAAGAAATATATTACAACTTTGAGATATCTATTTGTTTTATATGTTAATTAAAATTTAATGCAATTTTGATATAACGAAAATTTTATCTGCAATTAATTAAATAATTATACAATACTTTCATCTAATGTTTCACTCATTCAAGTAATATTAGATTTAATGAAATAAATCATTTCCAATAAATAACAGACCATTGACTTCATAAGCAATAAAAATATTTGCACCAAAAATATTCCCAATTCTGTAGTGTTTTTCTCGTTTATCTATTAACACAATTGATTATCGTTTGATTTTCTTTGCGCTCACATTAACACTGCTTTTTGCCATCAAATTCTCTTATATTAAATACTAATCTCTAGAGTTGTGTTTCCTATCCATTACTTCTCTCTCTCTCTCTCTCTCTCTCTCTCTCT